CATCGGATGGCTGGCAGCAACGCTCGGCTCCGGGCGGGCCTGCGAGCACTTAATGGGCCATTTTCGGCCACGGGCTTCATCCCAGGTTGACTTAGCCCAGCGCGTTTTTTTTCTCCTTACGGTTTTCGCTGCTGGGTTTTGGGCCGCTGTATAACCGTGGGTATTTTGGGCCATCGCGTTTTTTCTGTGTTTACCAGTGCATTGTAAGTTAATATCTTTTATGTTTTGCACTGTTTAAAAACAGAAAATGCCTAAAAATATAATGAACACATTGTTCTTCTGGGTAAAATTGAACCAACCAGATATTTTGTTCAGAATTTATTATGTGTTTGTATGATGAATTTTTAGACATCAAAAATAATAATATTTTTTCTTATGTTGATGTCTAAATTGAGAATAAAATGACTCTGATTTTAATTCGGACCAAATTTGTTTTATTATTATGAGTCAGCACTTATGACATTTTAATTCCATGTTTTTTCTTCCCAACGGTGTTTGGACATGGAGTTGAAATAAAATACATGACATGTCTATTTTATTTTGCCAACGTAAAATTTCATATTCATGTCAATTACTCATAAAACTCTTTCATGTCCATTACAGCTTCCGCTGCGTTTACTGTCGAACCGTTGACAGGTAGTAACTTCCCTCGTTGGAAGAACTCGATGGAATTATGCCTAGCCGTCCATCAGTTTGATTATGCTTTACGGGAGGATAAACCCGTGGCTCCAACTGCTGGTGTCACGGGGTATGCTGAACTAAAGAAAACTTATGATTCCAAGATGGAAATATGGGAAAAGTCAAATCACATTGCTATGCTTGTGATGAGATCATCCATCTCACCTGACATAATTGGGGCACTACCCAAGAAAGATACTCCTAAGGAATTCATGGCAGCCCTGGAGGAGCAATTCAAAGGCTCCGACAAGGTTTATGCACATGAAATTTTTCACAAGCTCCTTGGGAAGTATAATAATGATGGTGATGTCAGGGCTCACATTTTAAAGATGGTGAATGCTTGTAACAAATTGAAGGCATTACAATGTGAGCTCAATGACAATCTCCTTGTCATCATGATCTTGGACTCCCTCCCTGAAGAGTTTGATCAATTTAAGATTAACTATAACTCTCTTAAAGAGAAATGGACAATCGCGGAGATATCTCCAAGAATTGTTGAGGAAGAAGAGAGGATTAAGAGGCAAGGAAAGGACCAAGCCTTTTTGGTTGGCTCCTCCAAGAGAAAACATGATGGAGCAAGCTCTTCTAAGCAACAGCCACAAAAGAAGTTCTTTAAGAAACATTCATCAACCTCATATAAAGCAAAGGAGAAGGTGGACGATAAGCCTAAAGAAAACAAGTGCAACTTCTGCAAGCATGAGGGTCATTATCAGAAAGACTGTCCAAAATTTCTCAAATGGTTGATGAAGAAAGGTACTGATGAAATTACTTTCGTTGATGAAATGTTATATGTTGATTACTCTAGTACCTCTTGGTGGATTGATTCAGGCGCAACTTCTCACGTTGCCAATTATATGCAGGACTCAAATATAATCCAAACCATGGCAAAGGGGGCAAGAAGACTTAAGGTGGCAAATGGAGTCGAAGTTGATGTTGAAGCCATAGGGTCAATCACCTTAGAACTCCACACTGGCTTCCGTCTTCATTTAAATAATGTTCTTTATGTCCCTACCTTAAGTAGGAATTTGATTTCCGTCTCTTGCCTAGATGATAACATGTTTGAGAGCAAGTTTGGGAACAAACAATTTGTTTTGAATTATTGTAATAAGAACATAGGCCTCGGCGTTAGAGGAGGCCAATTATATATGTTATCATTGAAAGATTCTATCCTGCATGTGAGTGATGTATGTCATATTGAGAAGAAATGGAAGGGTACGAGTACCTCTTCGAAATTGTGGCACCGTCGTTTAGGCCACATTTCGAGGGGGAGAATTGAAAGACTTATTAAAAATGATGTACTCCTTCAATTAGACTTCTCTGATGCAGAAAAATGCATTGACTGTATAAAAGGCAAATACGCAAAAACGATTAAGAAAGGAGCGGTAAGAGCCACGGGAGTCCTTGAACTCATACACACTGACATATGTGGACCCCTTAATGTTAAGTCTATGGATGGTTTTGATTCGTTCATTACCTTCATAGACGACTTTTCTCGATACGGATATATTTATCCTATACGTGATCGATCGGAAGCTTTGGACAAATTCAAAGTGTTCAAAGCCGAAGTTGAGAACCAACTAAACGCTAAAATAAAAGTTGTACGATCAGATCGCGGGGGAGAGTATTATGGTAGGCATGCTCCTTATGGGCAAATTCCAGGTCCTTTTGCCAAGTTTCTCTCTGAGAATGGAATTGTTGCCCAGTATTCAATGCCTGGTGAACCTCAACAAAATGGCGTGGCTGAACGCTGAAACCGCACACTTATTGACATGGTGCGAAGCATGCTCAGTCATGCAAGTTTACCAGTCAGCCTATGGATGGAGGCATTAAAGACAGCCGCACATGTGCTAAATCTCGCTCCTACTAAAGCAGCACCGAACACACCTTACGAGATGTGGGAGGAAAAGAAACCGAGCTTGAATTATTTACATGTATGGGGTTGTCCCGCTGAGGCTAGAATTTTCAATCCACAACTTAAGAAATTAGATCCAAAGACAGTTAGTTGTTTGTTCATTGGATACCCTCATAGGGGAAAGGGATATCGTTTCT